ATCCTCGAGCACATTTACAGTTGTAGACTGACAGCATGATACAAAGCAATAGAGCCTTTATTGGCTCAGAGCGCTGACTCTCCCCTTCCCAATCTGATTGCTGGTAGGTAGAGGATTACAGGACAACAATTTAAGGACGGGATGCAGGTTCATAATGTTTTTTTTAATTAGATCATAAGTGTATTAAATGGTGTTTCTGTCTCTCTCCCCCTTCTTCTTCTCTCTTCCCCTTCTTCTCTCTCCCCCTTCTTCTTCTCTTACTCTTCCTCTCTTTCCCCCCCTCTTCTTCTCTTCTTCCCTCATTCACTCTCATATTTTCATTCCCTCATATTCCTTCTCTCTCGCTCTCATTCCTTCTCTCTCTCTCATTCCTTCTCGCTCTCTCATTCCTTCTCTCTCTCTCATTCCTTCTCTCCTTCCTTCTCTCTCTCTCATTCCTTCTCTCCTTCCTTCTCTCTCTCTCATTCCTCTCCTTCCTTCTCTCTCTCTCATTCCTTCTCTCCTTCCTTCTCTCTCTCTCCTTCCTTCTCTCTCTCTCCTTCCTTCTCTCTCTCATTCCTTTCCTCTCTGTCCGCTCTCTCATTCCTCTCTCCCTCTCATTCCTTCTCTCTATTCCTTCCCTCAATTCTCAATTCCTTCTCTCTCTATTCCTCTCTCTCTCTTTCTTTCCTCTCTTTCTTCATAAAAAAAAATGGTGTTTTTCTTATCTGCCTTGAGGTCTGCCCTGAAGTCCCATACCTAAGAAAAATGTGGAGGCTGCCATTGCTGACCACCTTCTGAAAATGCGATTTGCCTTGTTGGTATACTGACCCTCTTTTTAAATGGTTTCTTTAATCATTAAAACAAAGCAAGACATCTGAATAGTTGCTATTGATACTAGGCCCACGTTTGCTCCCAGTTCTTGTAAATGAACCTCCATGCATCAGCTGTAGTCTATTATTCCTGTACATACATATGAGTGTACACACTGTCACCTCAGTCCCTGAAAATACATGCACAGACTGTCTGTAGTCCCTACACACATGGAGACTTGTAGCCTCTTGTTTGTGGTGAGATGTTACTTTTTTTTTTTGTACACGGAGGACAGGAGAAGGTCAAGCAGATCTCAGGCTGCCAGTGTGCAAGGAATCCGTTCCATTGATTTTCCGATCGCATAGAACCTTCATCTTGGGAATAGCAACATGAAAAGCCTCTTCCTAGTGCTGGGAGAAGCAGAATCTTTCAGTGTTGTCTTAACCTTCATGTACAGAACGTGAGGCTCCACGTGATGGACATGTTCCTTTGCAGAGGAGGAGGGAGAAAAGCGGTCAGCATAGGTGCAAGCGATACATCACCTTAGGGCAGATTAAAAAGAGTGAAGAACGCCTCTCTATGAATCCTTACATAGTAATATAGAAAGGATGTAAACATTTAAAGTGTCCAGGTATTACCTAAAATATACCACCCAACCTCTTCTCCTTTATAGCACATCTCAGCATTTTTTCTTTTATTTAACGGGTTCCTGTAGTAAGAAACTGCTTTTTATTGTACTCCCTGTGACATCATTACCAGGCTAGTCATTTTTTTCCAGGGGCAGCTGCTGGGAGCTATGTCCCCTCCAGAACTACATCTACCAAAAGCCATGTCCCTACATGTGTGTGGGCCGGCTCTTCTGAGTCAAGGTAGTAGCAATATTTTGCTGGGAAATTAGTGTATGCATGTGAAGTGGGACCAAGAGGGGCAGGGGATAGGCAGAGTTCTATAGTCTGGCAGGCCTGCTTGAGATATCAAAAGGCACTGTGTTTTCAGCTAGAAGGTGGGGGCACTCTGCATTTCTAACAGATCAACAGGTATTTTTCTGTACTTGCAGCATTTCTAAATAGATCAAACTTGAAACATGTGTAAGTATAGCAGAGATGTACTTGCCCAGACATACACTTTTAGCGCATCCTTTTTTTTTCTTTGCTGACATTGCACTATGTGCTCATTAACAATAGTGCAATATGCTGTGCATTTAATGGTCCCATGACTAAAATGAACACTATACATCAATGCGTTAGCTGTATATACGCATTACCAAAATATATTCAGAGTTACAAAGGACCTCTTTTTCGTCAAGGATAAAAAAAAAAAAAGTTGCTTCTCCAGAGATCCCTTATACCCTAAATCCTGGAGAAAATTGGTCTCTAGTTGCCAGGATCACTACGAGTGTTTCAGCCAGACAGACCCTCATTGCACAAAGATAAGAGAGTCTGCAAGTCACATCCAGAAAGCAGAGCCTGCCCATGTAATTGGCTAATTTGGCTGTTCCCTTGTACATATACACTGCCTGGCAAAAAAAAAAAAAGTCACACACTCCAATATTTAGTTGGACCCATTTAGCTGTGGTTACGGCACACATTCGCAGTGGCTTTGTTTCAATAAGCGTACGCAATGTCGCATTTATTTCCATCCAGAGTTCTATTCATTTGTCACCAATATCTTGTAGTGATGATGGGAAAGTTGAACCACTGCGTAAAGTCTTCTCCAGTATATCCCAAAGATTCTCAGTGGGGTTAAGGTCTGTACTCTGTGGTGGCCAATCCATGTGTGAAAGTCATGTCTCATGCTCCCTGAACAATTTGAGCCCAATGAGTCCTGGCATTCTTATCTTGGAATGTGTCCGCGCCATCGGGGAAGAAAAAAATCCATTGATGGAACAACCTGGTCATGCAGTATATGCAGGTAGGCAGCTGACCTTGTTTTTGGGGGACATAACATTGCTGAACCTAGACCTAACCAACTGAAGTAACCCCAAATCATAACACTTATCCAATGAAAGGCTCTAACCTTTATTCTGAGCTAAATGCAGGTGTTGAATTTCTTTGTTGGCCAGGTAGTGTATAACACCAAATTAAACATAGAAGCAAAGCTTTTAAAACATTATTTCTCAACAATAGATTTCTTTACCTTAAACTGATCTCTTTTCTTAACAAATAAGAAGACTTTAGGCTCCCTTTTATGCAATACTTTATTCATACATTATACATTGTTCTATTTTGTTAAAGCTTATTCACCAAGTATGTATTATTGAATGGTAGTCCTGCTAGTTTTGCATTGCGTAAAAACATGGTAGGGATTGCCCTTTAAGTTTTTTGACCTAATTTTTCAAAATCTCATCTCTGAGGAAAATGTGAATGAGAGCATTTGCTCTTCTTGTGTGATGGCGCCCATTTATATAACATTTTGATGGAAGAAGCCCCAACATTAGTCTGCAGCGCAGTCATTACTGCTATTACTTAGCAATGTTTTTTTTACAATAAATAATGGGAAGAGGAAGATGATATTAAATAACCATCTGCAAATGTAACATTCCTCTCTGAATCTCTTCACATTTTATAGCTTGATAATGCAATATAGCGGTTTTTTATGGTATAATTTGCAGACCCTTAAAATGAGCTTGTGGATGAGAAAAATATATGACAAGACTAACATCAGCAGCAGGTAGCAGACAGTTGCTCTCAGCCCATTGCCTCATGAAGCCCCCTGTACCGGCTATGCCAAGGGCAACCTTGACCTTCTCAAAGGACCTGCTGTGTATGCAGGCTGCGGGCTTAAAGGAAGCCCGTACTAAAAGAAGAGCATAGGCTGCCATTGCTGACCTGCTTATAAGAATACTAATCGTCTGGCTGTCTTTGACTTTCAGAGTCAGAAACAGTATGCACATTAGAAAGCAAGGCTGAAGTCTGACATTGGACATCCGGCAACTAGCTTTTTCAGAAGGAGAGGTCACAAATGGCGTCATCAGTATTCACAAAGTGCAAATTTACCTTAAATGAAGTCCTGCAGGGCATACCTACTACGTGCACCCTTAAGGGTCACAATGGCCAGCTAATTTTCAGATCTCTTGGGGGCAACAGTGACTAACTGATCTGTTCACATAAGTTTTCTGGCTTGCCTGCATGTGCAGCCATTGAAAAGTCACCGCACTCTGTCAGTGCAATTTTTTCATTGTATTACATTATTGGGAAGGCAGCCGGAGAAATGAAACTCTGTTATAAGGGCAAGAGCCAACTCCAACTTGTGGCTGGAATCGCCCTAAGCAGGGGGAGCTAGCCTTACCCATCAGCCACTACCTGCACCTGAAATATCAGTTGGGGATAGACTGATTGTTGACATATTCAAGCTGATGCATGTTTTAGCAACATCGAGGCTCAGTGGTTAGGCGTACTCTTGCAGCATTGGTGTTCTGGTTTCAGTTTTACCGGGAAATTAAGTTTATATGTCCTCCATGTGCCTGTGTTCCAGTTTACTACTACATCTGCATTGGCTTATATGACTGAGTGTGTCTGAAATTTGTTCTAATTATATAAATTGATTTTCTATATTAGTATTTCTTCGGTCTGTGCATCCCTGTGTATGCAACAAGATTATCATTCTGTTTGGAAAGACTTCAGATTCCTGCTGTATGTTCCCGGCAAAATCTCTGCCGGATTTTGTCGCTCTGTATCTGAGAGGTCCATGGCCATTGTTGTTGGTGAAGGTTGGGAATGAGCGCGTTCACAATTTGCTTACCCAAAGCAATTTTTCCCTTTTCACTCATAAGTAGCTGGGGAGCCTATTTCACAGCACTGTGGATTATTGATTGGTGAAAATCTAGTTTTTGCACTTTGTATTTTTCTTTGCTGTTCAGCGTATATTTAGTAATTATACAGTATTTTGTTATTAGCTCTGCACTTTATAGTATTCTCAAAAACATGCAGGTTTACTGGCCTCCACCCAAAAATGATGCAAAGTGTGTCTCCGGAACGGTGGTTGGGTCATTACTTTGTAAGCTCCCCAGGAAGCTAGACCGATGCGGCTAGATAAATGTTCTTGGTAAAAATGATATGGAATATGTTGGCTGTCTACAAACCAATAAAATAATACGTTGGTTGCCAGATTAGACATTTTTAGGGGGTCGGTTTCCAGAAATAGAGTAAAAACTCAGGGGATGGGGTTCTTTCAGTTGAATAATAAAGTGATTTGTGTCTCCCATACAGGATCTGGAAGCCCTCTCTCAAGAGATTGTCCGACTCAGCAAGGAATGCGTCCCTGCCGCACACGAGAGCCCCAGCACTGGCTTGGCAAGCTGAAGTCTGGACTCCAGCAATGTTCTCACATCTCTGATATTGAACTCTTATAGCCAGCCCCATTCAGTTTTCCTGTAAAGGGCACCTTTCCCTCAGTTTTAGTTTGAATCCACCCTCTATGCTCATGCATTCCTCATGTTTGTGTGCATCCATTTTAAGGTTAGTCGTCTTTAAAAAGTATTTTCTTTTTGTACGTTGAGGGTGGTCATGGCACACTACTTCAGGTTACAATGTACAGAAGAATTTGCACAGATCTCATCTGAATATTGAAGAGATATACATATATATATATATTGAGAGATCATTCCTAATGTTTCTTTATTCTTAGTTGTGATGTTTTGTGAAGTTTTCTCTGCTTTTGGCTGCCCTTCTTAATTTTTTTTTATTGGTCTTTTTACATGAACTTTTGCTGTATGTCCAAAATATCCAGAGCCTCTCTGCAGAGATGGGGTTCATCAAATTTCTTATATATTTGCACTGTCCATCCTCCTTACAGCTCTCCGATGGTCCTATTTAAAGCAAAACTGCAATATTTTCATTTAAATAAATCTGTCCACAAAGCAGTATACTTGTGTGAAAAGGCTCAAGCAGAATCCATCCTCTGCTGACTCCTGGACTGGGAGCTAGTTCCATTTACCGTATTTTTCGCTCCATAAGACGCACCTGACCATAAGACGCACCTAGGTTTAGAGGAAAAAAACAAGAAAAAGTGAAAAAGAACAAGTGAAACAACTTTATTTACCGCCTCCACAATGCCGCTGCCCATGTTGCCTAACTTCTGCATACTGAGGCTCCTCCCTTTCCCTGTCTTGTGGCATGACACAGGAAGGTGAGAAGCAGGTCAGACACAGAAGTTAGACAGCGACAGCACGGAAGAGGTAAATAACGCTGGTTCGCTGGCTCGAGTGATTACTGGTACAATGTCAGCCCCGCCGCCTCAGCTCTCACACACACATCCCACTGCGGGAGCCGCTGGACGCGTGTGGTGTGACAGCTGAGGCAGCAGGGCTGCTGGCGCAGGATATTGTTGAGACCTCTACTGTCCTGGAGCTCTGAATACACACAGAAGTAAACTATCCGCAAGGCGGTGTGATCTACTTGTGCGTAGAGTAATGGGAAGGTGGGGGTTTGACAAACCTCTGTACACATGGAATAAAAAGTTCCTTTTTATTCCATGTGTACAGTTACATCACCAAGTGTAGCAATGTTTCAGAACGCATCCGGTTCCTTCATCAGGCAAAACAAAGTGCCTGATGAAGGAACTGGATGCGTTCCAAAACATTGCTACACTTGGTGATGTAACTGTACACATGGAACAAAGGGAACTTTGCTTGGAGATCCTTTGGAGTGCTGAAGACTTACTGTTTTGTTTACCTGATCCAGCGGCGCCAGCCACTGTCATTTCAGCACCCCCCCCCATTGGAAGTTGGGGCATTTTCGTTCAGGAGTGCGGTGAGATCCCCTACATGACTGTCTTTTACAAAGGGAACCCTTGTGTAATTACATTCAATTGGAGCATGCTTTCTCTGACTCTTCTCTATCATGTACTATCTCGGGGTCATGATTTAGGTTATGGGTTTAGTTTTACTTCCCTTGAACTAGCGTGCAGATCAGGTTTGGAGGACAGCTTCTGCCATCACAGCCATCATACAAGTGTCTTGCTTTGTGACACACTCATTTTACAAATTCAGATCCAGTTACCCAGGGCTAATGTATGTACACGGAAATGCCATTGGCATCCCATGCAAGCATGCCACACTGATCCAGAAAAGTAGAACATGTATAGCTGATCTCATATTGGACTGTCTGCCTAATAGAACTGACCAGATAAGATTTGAGCACGCATGACCTAATTCTAAATGTGTCTTCTAAAGAAAGAACTGTTCTTGTTGCCTATAGCAACCAGTCAAATGTTCTAATTTACTCTAGTCATGTGTGGGCGAATGAAAGGAATTATCTGATTACTTGGCATATGGTAACAAGACCTGTTCTGCCCGACATATTGGTAGGATGGCCATCACATCCAATTCTCTGTCATTACCCTGATCCTGTGTTCCATGTTTTCACTCAGTGGATTTCCAAAGTGTGACATCTGATGGTGGAGAAACATACTTAAAATGTATCTGCTACTTTTGAAGTATTCTATTTAGCAGTTTGACATCATTTCTGTCACCAATTTTTAAAACCTCTGCCTCACAAGGGACCAGTCATCCTCGGTGCCATCTCCAGCTAGTTTAGAGTTGTGTCAGGTAGGGGGAAGTCCAATTACCCTTACTTTCAGCTCCAGCCATAGCAGAGTTCTATTGGGAAGGGGAAAAGTCCAATCACCCTGATTGCCAGCTCCAGCCGGAGCAGAGTTCTATTGGGAAGGGGAAAAGTCCAATCACCCTGATTGCCAGCTCCAGCCGGAGCAGAGTTCTATTGGGAAGGGGAAAAGTCCAATCACCCTGATTGCCAGCTCCAGCCGGAGCAGAGTTCTATTGGGAAGGGGAAAAGTCCAATCACCCTGATTGCCAGCTCCAGCCGGAGCAGAGTTCTATTGGGAAGGGGAAAAGTCCAATCACCCTGATTGCCAGCTCCAGCCGGAGCAGAGTTCTATTGGGAAGGGGAAAAGTCCAATCACCTTGATTGCCAGCTCCAGCCGGAGCAGAGTTCTATTGGGAAGGGCAAAAGTCCAATCACCCTGATTGCCAGCTCCAGCCGGAGCAGAGTTGTATTGGGAAGGGGAAAAGTCCAATCACCCTGACTGCCAGCTCCAGCCAGAGCAGAGTTCTATTGGGAAGGGGAAAAGCCCAATCACCCTGATTGCCAGCTCCAGCCAGTTCCAAGCTCCTGGATTGCCAGCTCCAGCCGGAGCAGAGTTGTATTGGGAAGGGGAAAAGTCCAATCACCCTGATTGCCAGCTCCAGCCGGAGCAGAGTTCTATTGGGAAGGGGAAAAGTCCAATCACCCTGATTGCCAGCTCCAGCCAGAGCAGAGTTCTATTGGGAAGGGGAAAAGCCCAATCACCCTGATTGCCAGCTCCAGCCAGAGCAGAGTTGTCAGGCAGAGGAGGAGTCCAGTCACCCTGACTGCCATCTCCAGCTAATACAGAGTTGTGTCAGGCAAGGGAGGGGGCCAGTCATCCAAACTCTCCAGCCAGAGCAGAGTTCTATTGGGAAGGGGAAAAGCCCAATCACCCTGATTGCCAGCTCCAGCCAGAGCAGAGTTGTCAGGCAGAGGAGGAGTCCAGTCACCCTGACTGCCATCTCCAGCTAATACAGAGTTGTGTCAGGCAAGGGAGGAGTCCAGTCATCCAGACTCCCAGCTCCAGCTAATGCATATATGTGTCAGACAGGGAAAGAGCCCAGACTCCAAGCAGAGCAGAGTTTTGTTAGGCAGGGGAGGGGCCCGGTCATCCAGGTTCCCTGCTCCAGGCAGAACATAGTTGTGTCAGGCAGAGGACTGACTGGCAGCCCCAGCTAGTGCGGGGGACAAGTCTGGTCATCCTAATTGATGGCTAGGAAAATGCTAAGAGGAGGGGAGACCACAGGGTTGGCCTGATCAGTTGGCTGCTGCTCCTTCATTATCCATTCAGCATGTTGCAAATGAGGAGGTGACACCACAGTAATCCTTAACTGTAGCAGATGTCACCCTTCTGGGTATTTAGTGTGGTAGGTTTGTGTGAATCCGAAGAGTGGCTGAACAGAAGCAAGTGAATAGTGTGTGTGTGTGTGTGTGTGTGTGTGTGTGTGTGTGTGTGTG